GGTTTCAAGTGGACATAAAGATTTTAGTCTCACTCGAAACTACTCTCTCTACGCCACAAAGCACAAAGTATGGCGCTTTGTGTAGAGAAATATCGTTTTTTTATTAAGTGGTTGGTGGAAAGTGAAGAACTTTAAGTGAGTTTTGTCTCTCAATAAACATGTCAAATCGGGAAGGTCACAAGTTCGACCAGATTAAGTGGTAGGTAGGTCTTAGTGGGCCGAAAACCCAATCAAAATCATACCGGATCGTATGTAAACGAGGTTGTGAAAACAAAAGTATGGTGTAAAAACATTGGAGAATTAGTCTTCCAATGGTGCGGTGCGGTGCGGTGCAGAACAAAGTGAATTGATAAATCAAACGGATAAACAAAGTTCATGCGAAACGAGCTAAGTATTCACGACATATTATGTCATTTTGATGATATGTTTCTGATAAAGTGAGAGAAGTAAAGCCTTGGTGATCGACGAAGTTAAGAGGAAAATAAGTTTGAGATATGGTTTCAAAGTCAAGAAAGAGAGTATTTCGTAGAAAGAACGAGAGAAGATACATTGTTTGGGTGTAAAAAAAAAAAGATACATTTTTTGGATGTAAAAATCGAATCTCTTTCTTGTTGAGAGAATGACCGTTTTATAGATTTTACCTTTCATGATTTGTATATTGGACATAATGCGATTTGGTGGGTTTGGGTCTATATGAAGCATTTGAGTGGTTTTCATATATATTTTATAGTTGGTCGACGAGATAATTCTCAAATACGTGAAAACTAATATAATGTCTACTCCAACAACTTTAGGACCAATCCAATGAGGTTGGAGACTTACACAAAAGCGTTAAACGGTTCCTATAATCTAAATATGTGTGTTAAAAGATTCACCTAAATTATAATTATTTTACTTCAATAATATTTATTTTAGAAAATATAAAAGACCATAATTATATAAGATAATCAAAATTTAATATTGGAACTAAAATTTATTATTATTGCAAATATTAATTTAAAATTATGAATTTAAGAAAAGATCAGATACTTTTTATGAGAAAAATTACAAAATTGTAAAATCGCAAAGAATTTNATATATATTTTTGGTATAAAGTGTATTGAGTTTTTTAGTAACATCACTTTGAGAAAGCAATATTGTATAAAAGACATATGGTATGATAGTTTAAGACACATGGATATAAAATATTAAATAAATATTAATTTAATATTGTCTGAAAGCAATATTGTATGAAAGACATATGGAATGATAGTTTAAGACACATGGGTATACAATATTAAATAATATTAATTTAATATTGTATGAAACACATATGGTAAGATAGTTTAAGACACATGGGTATTTTC